GCAACAGCAGCCTAACTAAGGGCGGCTGAGTTTCTGCTATTACATTAGGTTTAAATAAAGGTGTGTGTATCCTTGAACCACGGTCAGATGTTTTTCTTTGGATAAATGATAAAGCAGTAATAATATAATAACTTCTACAGAACTGAGCTGCTTCCCTCTCCACTCAGAGATTATTAGATTGGAAATTTTATCCTCAATCAATTTTACGGCACTCTCTTCTCCACGGACCATCTCCAAACTAGCTCGTCTTTGACACGGAGTTAAATTTTATTTAGCTTTTCAATAAATTGAATGAGGACAGCCTAATTGCTGAGGTCATCCTAGGGAATAAAATAAAGAGTGGATTACGTGTTTTTTTTGCCCCGACTTGAAAGTCAGTCTGCTTTTATGTCTTTGACGTGTGGTTTCTCCGTCTGTGCGCCTCCCTCTGATCTGACGGAGGAGCGTGGTCTCTCTCGGGCTGCGTTTTTTAAACGGCCACTTTCATTCCCTTCACGTCTCAAACGGGTTGCATTGGGATTCCAATCGTGTAACCCGTGTTCCTGCCGAATCCCTCCAGTCTACCTTTCTAATCCACACCTGAGAATGACGCGCGTATCTTACAATATCAATAACTTTTAGATTCTGTGCTCAAAAATCTCATACTCATCCTGATCTTGCAGTTCATTTCTGTCTCTTTTTACACAAACACTGCCACTGATGTTATTTTAAGCCCAAGCTCCTCTTTCCTCTACTATTTTTTTCCTCATTTCCTGTCTTTATTCTTTCTTTCCTTCTCTTCATCTTCAGTCGGTGCTTCATCTTCCTCGCCTCTCCTTCTCCCTACCTATCATCCACAGTGACGACAGAAACATGGTTCTCGTAGGAGTTGGAGAGGGAAAAGTCTTTTGTTTTCCGCCTGTGTGCTGGCGTGCATACAGGGTGGCCCAGAGTGACCCCGGTCAGTGTCTAAATCACAGGGAACTGTTGTGCAGAGTGGAGCAGCTGAAGACAGTTGTAGCTGAGTTTTCAGCACTGCAGCGTGTGGACAGCTCCTTCAGGATTACAGCGTTAGCGGGGAAGTTCAGCCTGATGCTAAATTGAGTTAGCGACGAGATATTCTTATCCTCTGTAGTTTCCGTCTTTGCATTACAGACAGTGTTGCTGGTAGATTGGTTTGTTCAATATCGGGCCATGTATCAAATATTGATAGTATTTGCAGTGTTGGAATAAGAGCTGTAGCTACCACTGAGGATCCTATTTTATAACTGATGACTAATGACTTCATCCAGTATTTCCAGACCTTATGCATCTATAAATTGTACCGGGGTTCGACTGTAATGGTTGCCAGGTTTCCATTAGCAATGATTTTGAGAAACTGGCAACCAATTCTGACACTATTGGACTTGTAGAATGAAGTGTAACACTTATTAGATTATTATACTATGTTTCAGATTGTTTTTGCTCTGGTGAGCTTCACATAATGTTTGCTCACAGTAAAGGGCTGGACTGATGTTTTTGCTTTAATTATTGTCTAAATCTTGTATGTACACACATGGGTACAATTATGATTTAATGTTGGCTCGTTGTTTGTTTTCATGAGCCTGATGAAGTGCTGAACAAAGCATGTTTCTCATGCCAACGGTAATAAAAGATCCCTGATCATGTAGCTTTTTATTGGCTGACTATGCAGTGCAGTCTTTTCTGACTTTTGTGTGGACCTAAGAAGTGTTAATGAGTATGGGGGGTATATGGCAGGATATGTGTTGCAAATCATGCTTCCTTTCCTGTCTTATCTCTATACACACACACACACGCTTCCTCAGTCCTCTGTGGAGTAGAAGGGATCAGGTTGGGGGGGGGGGTAGTAGAGAGACAGGTGTTTCGTCCTCACCTTCTTGCATCTGCTGGTTTCTGCCCCAATTAACACCCATTAATATAATTTGTTATGGTCCACCTTGCTCAGTGCAGACGGTATGAGCTCTCTAACTCCAACACACCGCTACATGTGCACACCTGCGCATGCACTCACACCGCCTCGGTGACCGCGAGGTTTAAAGGAACATAAATCGCACAAAGCAGACAGCTGTGTGTGTGTGTGTGTGTGTGATAGCATGTGGCGTTTTGACACAAAGGTTTACACTGTGACGCCTCCTCTGATTGTCCCAGCTGTCGCTGCCAACAGCTGTCCGCTGGGAAGTTTTCAATTGGAGAGGAAGTGTGTGTTTAGCGTGCGTGTGTGTGTTTGTTTAAGAGAGAGAAATCAAGGGCATCCAAATGCATGATGGGGATGTTTGAGAAACTTTATTGGCAAACTTATTCAGTGTGACCATCATTTGAACATTTTTAGTCTTCAAATTGTCAGTAAATACTGAAAAATGTCTTATTTTCCCGAGCCCAAGGTGATGTCTTCAACTTGGTTGTTTTGTCCGACGAACAATCCAAAATCAAAACGTATATAAAATATTGAATTAATAAAGCAGCAAATTCTCAAAACTTGGAGGCAAATGTTTGGTATTTTTATCTGATAAAAACTTTAAAGAGCAACTGAAGAACCCTGAAAATCTTGTTTTTGCCGACTGCACTGATGTAGAAGTGTACTCCAGGGTGTGTCGGTACACTGTGACATCACCACTATTAACCACTATTCGACACTATTAAGTTCCTCTTTAAATATAATAATTATTACATTAGTTTCAATCAATTTTCAACACTATTATCTTCTCATCCTTAAATTCACCTTTACTTCAGTTGAATTAAAAAAACTAACTAATTACTGTCGAGGAATCCAGAATACTTCATCTGTTCAGCACTGACTCGACCAAAGAGAAAAACACGCCTGAAGTCTCTCTAGTAAGGAGATGAAAGAGGAAGATGTAGCGTTGATCAGTAATTGACCTCCTCTTCCCCGTGTGATGAAGAGTCGTTCTCAGGAGTCCAGTATGAACTTCAGCTCATTACGAGCCACCTCCTGCAGAGTTGGAATACTACCACGATGAATGAAGCTTGTTTTGAATATTTCTGAACAGCTTGTGAGCTCAATTTTCAGTCGACCTAAATCATTTGAAGTGTTGAACCCAGATCTCTCGTTTTCTTTCCTACGAGTCCGAATGTTATCCTGAGCTTTTAGGTTGAAAACATCACTCATTTAAAGAGCAGACATGATTCCTCGTCTTCGTTTCGTGGTGTCTTTTGTTATTCATGGCGGCGATTGTGTGCAGGCTGCTGTGGCTGCAGGGATGTTGAGATGAGGAGAATCTATTTATCGGGCGATGAAGAGGCTGACCCCGTTGGCTTACCCCTGTCGTTACTGCACATTACGCTGTAGCTGCATGTCATTCGTAGGATTGTTTGTAGCTACACGGCGTAGCTTGCCCCCAGCCTACTTTAGTGAAATTTGGATGCTGTTTTGGGGATATCTTTTTTTTAGCTTTGCTGATAACAGGAAAAAATGTCATGTCTGCTGAAGTTGAAAGATTAAAGTCAGTACGTTTTGGAAAACGTTTAGGTATAGAAGATGAATGGATTATAATGAGATCAGTCAGTGAGAGGAATTACATTTCTTTTGTAGTTTTATGCAAAGAGTGAGGACGGCATATTTAGCTTCAGGTCGACTTACACTTTGGCTTTCGTGGCATCAAACCCACAGCTACTGGAGTCTGAAGCACCGCAGCACAGAAATGGACATTTTAAGGCCTTTTAGATGAGTCAGACAGACCCGGCGTCTCTTTCATGTCCTGTGTTGCGGGAGACTTAAGATTTGCCTTTGAGACAGTGTGCAATTCAACTTATTCTATTAATATTACAGCTGCCTGCAGGAGCAAGTTGTTTACAGGAAAGAGAGCACTGACTGTGCTAAATCCTCTAATATGAATAAAAGGAAATCAACACTAATACGCCGTGAAAGTTTAGAGTTTAGTGAACATGAAAAACCATTTCCTGAAGATCCGAAGAGTCAGAAATTAGAATTAAGACATCCTTACGTGACACATTTTAAGCAGCCCGACTTCCACTTTAAAAGGCATGAATAAGCCTGTGGGTTTAAGGCTTTAGCACTAAGCAGTAATGTAGATGTTCCCCTTGTTGGCAATTAGTTTTTCACATATTAGAGAAATGTTTTCTTGTGAATTTCACAGATTACATCCTCTGTGGCTTTCTTTCAAGCTTTCTTTTAGTGCCATTGTACTTTCACACGGTGTGCAAATTCAACTCAAAATCCTGTCACGATCCTGTGTTGACTGGGACCTGATGCTAAAGAAGATAATAAAACCGGTCATGTATCTAATTTTGAGCAAATTTGAAGTCAAAGATTAAAAGGAATTATATTATTATTATTATTAGACATACAAGCTGTGTCAAAAAACTGATGGTTAATAATACAGCGATTATCTCTCCCTTACGCAACCAAACGGGGAACATTGTGTCGAATAAAAATAATAAGAAAAATAAATGTATTACAAAGAGCCACTGTTGCTTTACACACTTTTCTTTTCCTCCCTTTGCTCAGAAAACATTGATCTCTAAACTCAGGAAGGCTGCAGGAAAGTCAATAGACTCGGTGCCTCCTGGGAAATGTAGGTGGAGGATGTGGAGTAGAGTGCTTCTACATCAATACTGGCTATTATTACAGTAGCTTGTTGCTGCTTTTATTGGTAAAACTGTGAGAGCGATGTCTGGTTGTGTTTAACTTATGACTAACAGAAAAACAGACACGACCCAGACACTCATGTAGTCATCCTTCCGCTGGATAAAGGTCTCTTTTGGTATTATGGCCGCCACAAAGAGAGCGAGGCGGGGGAGGGGGTGAGACGAGCAACGGGGGGGAGGGGGAGTAAAGGGAAGGAGGGACACAGGTCACCGACATTTCCGGAGATTACCCGTTTGCTTAATCTGCTGGCAACGCAACTTTGTGGGCTAACCTGACACACGCACTTGAGTTTAAACTCAATGCAGCGATGGAATGTATCCAAGTCCGATGAAGACCTTGAACCCTGACCCACCTTTCTCTCCTCCTGATCCAGGCACATGTCTGATTCTGGGCTGCATGATCTACCCAGATGGTTGGGACAGCGACGAGGTGAAGCGGATGTGCGGCGAGCAGACGGACAAGTACACGCTGGGCGCCTGCTCGGTGCGCTGGGCCTACATCCTGGCCATCATGGGCATCCTGGACGCCCTCATCCTCTCCTTCCTGGGCTTCGTTCTGGGAAACCGTCAGGACAGTCTGATGTCTGAGGAGCTGCTGGGAGACAGTAAGAGGATACGATCTTAATGGCTCATCGATGGTAGACACAGGCAGTGCATGGTAGACTGCAGGTTGCACTTTTTTTTGGGAATAATGCAGTTGGTCATGAAGATGAAAAGCAATGAGAGGAGCGATGCAGAGGGAGAGAGAGATGGGTGACTGAGAGGAAGGGTTAATTGAAGCCTGGGGATGCTGGACAGAGTCATGAATTACTAATGGCTGTTTACACAGCTTGCTGCCAGCCTGTCTAAATGAATCACAGCCACACTATCAGCCGGGACCCAGACGCCTGTTCACCCGCATAAGCAGAAAGACTGCGAGGAAGAAGCTATTATCAACTGGGAGAGGGAAGGGCAAGACGGAGAGGGATAATGAGCAGAGGAAGAGGATGAGAGGAGGAAGAGAGATGTGCATGAAATATGAGAATGAAGAGTGGGGCATTCATCAAACAGAGGACGAAGTTTAAATAGGATGTTTTCTTATCTTGTCATTCAGGAGGATGGATTGTGACACCTGTCCAGAAACACCAGAGGGGTGTTTTAATTGATGCATCCTTTAGACTCTAAAGGGGAGAACTTCTGTGTAATACTGCCCCCTGCTGGTTGAAAAGATGTCAGTCATTGTATCCTCTCAGTACTAAACTGATTTCTCTCTTTTTTTTTTTTTCCTCCCACAGAGAGCGGCAATAACGCCATATAACATCTGTTAATGGTGAAGCAGCCGCAAACACACAGGTAAGGATCAATAATCAATCTTATGTTCGTACCTCTCAGGTAATAATTAAAATTGTTCCCATTGCAACCCACGTTTTCATTTTAATGTCCGGCTTTCTCCTTTTATTCCCTTTAAGGCACCGAAAACTTGGTTTCAGATCATTTATTTTCCCATAACATTACATTTCATGACTAAATAAGCAACAATCAAAGTCATTCTTAGTTATTTATTAAGAGTTAAACATTTATAAACTTTTCCTTTTTATTCCCCTCAAGTAGCTTTAAGGTTAAACAATCCTCTAGTTCCACACTGATCAATTGCTATTTCAAAACCTTCTCCACTGTATAATACAACATGAATATAGTCACGTAAAAGACATACAATTACATCATAACTTTAGCTTGAAAAGGTCGATCAAATTGAGTGAAATATTCAAACCGAAGACTATATTGTGTTATGGCTGCACCGTGCTATCAAGTGGCAGTATTGTAGCTTTTGGATTTTCCCTAGAATTAAAAATAAAGTTCTGTAGGTTTGAGCAAACAGGAGTTTGTAATGACCCACCATGTTTTTAGGAGTGCAGATACAACATAATTACTGCAACCACATGCTCCTCAAGCAGTCTGTTATAATCAATATAATTATCAGAAAACAGTAGTAATCAGTATGATGATGATATTCATCATCAGGTAAACATCATTTAATGACTTAGTTATTTTTGCACTATTTTAATCAATGAAATTGATGTTTAGATTTAACATATCAAACATGTATTTGTTCTTTATCTGCAAGTGGCTTCCAGCTGATGCTGTATTCATGAATATGAATCAGATACTTTTGCATTTTAAGTAAATAATAGCTGTTAAAAGCATATTTGTACAATAACTGGATGGTGTGTGAGTGAGTACATCATGGGGCTCCACCTACTCTCTATTTTCTAGAGATTTCTTTTTAATTAAAAGCACTGAAAACAATATAAAGCATACATATATATATACACACGTTTTAGGCTATTTATTGGCTCAAACAATTGGCTATAGTGTAAACCAGAGTAATGATCTATATCCATCCCCCACTGTTTTAAACTAAATTAATTTCTTCTTTGCCTGCAGGTCTTGCTGCCTAGACGTGATGTTACTTCAGGATCCAGCTTCCCTCTCGTGGTCCGACCTGTGGCTGGGATGTAGAGCTGAGGTCTTGGTAAAGAACAGATCAAAGAAGAGGAGTGAGAGGAGGTCTGGAAGAGGCCACACAAACCTAGGTGGAGACCAGGATGCTGCTTGTTCTCTCTGAAAGCTCCCCCCTGTAAAATAGCCGCCTCCATTCTTCTCAAACCGCTTATTCTTGGAGGATGAATCCTCAAAAAGACCGTCTCAACTGTATGTCACTGCGTCATCTTACATGAGCTCTTCAAACTGACATTTTTTTGTCCGTGTGGATGTGGGGAAGGCTGTCGGTGCTTAAGTTCAGCTGAAAGAATATATTTAAAAAGGCTCTTCATGTTTTTAAATTCATCTCCAAGATACACACCACGGAGCGACGGCCGCTCAAATCAAATCAAATCATCCAGACTTTGACCGACACAAATAAGGACTTTACAGACTCGAGGTCAAAACTGTCAGATCTTCTTTCTTACCAAGTCAACAAAGGAGTTTGGCGTTGACACTGGTTGACCTTTTGAAACAACGGCACTGTTTTGTTATAATTAAATGTTTGATGTGATAGAATCAAAGGTAGTAAATAGAAATTTTGCTGCTGACAACTTTGCAAAACATGTACTAAATAGGAGAAAAATATCAAGTCTTATAATCTGTGTATACGTCCTTGTATTTTGTCTTGACTTTGAAATGTGCACTTTGAAATGTCAAGCTATTGGTCCATTATTAGTGTGTGCCATACAGTATCTCGTAATCTGACAGTATTGTGAAGTACGAAAAGCTAAACTGAACATGAATAGAGGCTGAATATGTTTGTTTTAATTGTCATTGATGAACACACGGGGAAACCTTCACAGTTTGGGATACATGCTTAACTTTATTGCTTTCTGGCGGAGAGTTAGCAGTTGCATGGATAAGAAGATTACATATTGTGGCCAAACGGTGGAATTTCAATTTTTTTATACTCCGAATTCAAACTTTTTTGGGTCTTCATGGGGACTCTGTATCCGGTTCTTTTTATACACCCATGCCTCTAAAGCTCAACAATAATCATATCTAAGTTGTTAAAACTGTACAAACGACAATTATCCGTTTTTAGCTAGCTGTAAAACACCATATTGCTGCCTTCACACTAGATTTTGTAAATTTTTACTTGTTTGCTAGTGTTAAGCTAATTGGCTAACAGAGTTGGACCAGCTTGAGTGGTATCAATCATCTAAGCTAGCTAACTCTCTGCTTAAAAGCTAATTAGAGTAATTCCTGAAATGTCCAATACCCTGAACAGCTTTTTGAAACAAAGTAGTTTTGAGTGTCGCACAGCAACATTATAATTGTGAACGTGCATCCTTTGTTATTATTCCCGTTACTTCAGGTGGTTACCATGTCGAGCTGAAGGATTCTATATGGGTCTGTTCTGATGAATAACTTATAATATGGATTCAAAGTGTGAGACATAATAAAGAAATGACCACATTTGGTAAGGAATGTGTGCAATACAGTTTAAAGAGTTAATTTTTTTTACATTTATTTATATAAAGAAATACACTTTATAACTTTGTCATATGTCTTAAAGCAGGCAAATGTCCACATACTTTTCTCTACTTTTGGTGTGGGGTTGTTTTTCATGGTTTGGGCTATGCAACATTTGGGGGAGGGCCATTTTCAATGTACACTTTCTGCAATCCCAGCCTCCGAGCAGAAGTTTGCAGATGTTAGAGGTGCGCAGGTTGACGCAGTAGCTGAGTAGTGCGTGAAATCTAAGCTGTTGAAAGTGTTGAATTGGGCCGCAGACGAGTAAATTATAATTTCATGTCTTCATTTTTCATATTCTTTTTTTAAACATTTTATATTATACTAAAGGCCGCTATGATATTTTTATAACATTTTATTTGCATAATGTAAGATGTTTTTTTTATTGTAATTGTAAAATGTTTCAAAAAGCCATAGTATAATTAATTTAAGTTATTTTTGAAGTTACTTTTTAAGTTACTAAAACAGTCACAGTATATTATGTTAAAAAGTCAAAAACAGTCTCAGTATATAGCATGTCGAAAAAAGTAATGCAATCAGTAGCAACTTCATTAGAATTTCACAATCATTTATTACACATTGTACAAATTTGAATAATGCAACGTCTTTGACGATTGGACTCCATCCTGAAGGAAGACAATCGAGGGCTGGAGATGCTGAGGTCAGATGAGGCATAATCCCGCTGGAGTCCAGCCACTGGGCGTGGTGTTGATGAAGGGAGTTGCTGCAGAGTTAAAAATGGTCATAGTATAGCATGTCGGAGAAAGTCAAAAACAGTCATAGTATATAGAGCATGTTGAAACTAAGTCATAAAAAGTCATAGTATAGCATGTAAAAAAAGTCTTAAAAACAATGATCGAAATAGAATTATTTCAGCTCTAATGTAGTAATTTGAAGCTCCAACCTTGTTCGTGCAGTTCGTAGTGTCTGTGTTCTTCACATATTTCTAATCTGCTCGTTTACTTTCCCTTTCCACTGAAGTATCGCTGCCCTTAATACATTGAGCAATGAACCAATTTCCCAAAGCTAATTTCTACAATTGTACCTGTAAGATAGCTAAAAATACCAAAACATTGCCATCTAATTCCCAATTATTTCAATTCACAGAGACATGAAAACATTTTTTTGTCTCTGAGCAGAAGAATTGGGAAAGAGAGAACAGTGTGCAGGTTCTTTTTGTACAGTTTTATGGATGTACATGTGCTTGATGGGGATTGACTGGCAATTGCAAATGTCCAACACATTAACCAACAATACTTTGGATATCAACTACAAAATATCCGTTATTAATAGAAACCTTGAACTCACCGGGAAGAACATTTTGCCGTCCTTGAAGGTTTCCCTTCTGCTCTCCTGAAGGCTGATAGCCGAGAGGATATTCGTCAAAGACACAGACGGTAGAGACGGCGGCATGAAATGTTCCCAGAGACACATGACACAACAAGTTGTATAAAACTGTCATTACAGTGATTTATTATAATGAACCATGAAAATAGCCAAACAGTGCAGTGTCTGTGAGTCTCTCCCCTCCACACAAACATACACTCACACACACAAATAATAATAAAAAAAAAGACAAAGTTGAAGAGAGTCCAGAGAGGGAAAAAAAATAATTAAAAAACAGAACGCTACAGTCACAGAAACATTCAGCTTTGCCAAGAGGAGCGTACATATTTACAACCATATTTCAAAAATGGGATGGGAGCGAATTGTACAAGCATAGAAAAGAAAAGCAGCGAATATTTACAACTGGTTCCTGGTGAAAGCTGGAGTAACCACCTATACATTAAATTACACTTTCTACAAATAACCATTGATATTCAAAAATAAACCGCTAACGTCCTACCTGTGGGCGAGGCCACTCTGCCTATCTCTGTAGACTACAAGCACTCGTTACAAGAATTCACGCACACACACTTTCCTCCTTTAAACAACCATACTCTTTCACATCCTATAACACACACACACACACACACACACACACACACACACACACACACACA